TTGGCAATTAACTGAAATGAATAAGTTGAAGCAAAATTACAAAAACTAAAACTTAAATGGAAATGAATTAAATCTATATTATAACAAAAATAAATAGAATACAATAAATAAATAAATAAAATAATAAAAATTACGAAAATCACAAAAATTACTAAAACTTAAGCTAAAATGAAAATGAAAACTGAACAAACAAAAATAAAAGCTAATTTAAAATATTATAAATACTATAATTGTATATAAATAATACTAAAATATCTCTGGTTTGGGGCAAAACAATAACAGCTCCCACTGACTTTCACTATTTTATGAACAATAATAAAAAGACACATTTTTCAAAAAGTCAGTCATGCAGGTTTGGAAACCCATGAAAGTGGGTAAATAAAGACAGACATCATTATTTTTGGGTGAACTATTCTTTTGAAGTTGCTAATTACTTCCTTTAGGTGAAAGCAATGAAGTCTAATTTGAGGCATAGTAATAAAATGTCTTTCTTTTTTGCCACTAGGTTGAAATTGCATCTTCATAATGTTACGATGAAACACTGTAAATCAGAGCCAAACAACACGTAAAAACTGACCTTTGGAAGAATTCAGACCAAGCTACTTGCATGCTTCTCATCTCTTGCAATTCATCCACAATGCCCTGTGCACTTTAAGATTTAGCAGTAAAACTAAAGCAAAAAAAAACAAAAAAACATGTTTTCAATTTTAGGTCTTCTCCTAAACTGTTTTCTAGCTGGTAAAAATTTATTTTTTTGCTAGTGTTCACAATAGCACTCGCATTACCCCTGTAAAGCCTGATATGTGTTATAATAATTTGAAAAAATGCACATATATACAGTGGTGTGAAAAAGTGTTGGCCCCCTTCCAGATTTCTTATTTTTTTTCATGTTTGTCACACTTTAATGTTTCAGATCATCAAACTAATTTAAATATTACACAAAGATAATGCAAGTAAATACAAAATGCAGTTTTTAACCACCTCTGAATGACTCAAGAAAAATTAAATTAAGGTCTTGGAGTGGCCAAATCAAAGTCCGGACTTAAATCCGATTGAGATGCTTAAACAGTCCATTCATGCTCGAAAACCCTCCAATGTGGCTGAATTAAAACAATTCTGCAAAGAAGAGTGGGCCAAAATTCCTCCACAGCGATGTGAAAGACTCATTGCCAGTTATCGCAAACACTTGATTGCAGTTGTTGCTGCAAAGCGTGGCACAACCAGTTATTAGATTTAGGGGGCAATTACTTTTTCACATAGGGCCAGGCAGGTTTGGACAGCTTTTTTCCCTTAATAAAATAAAATCATTTAAAAACTGCATTTTGTATTTACTTTCATTATCTTTGTGTAATATTAAAATTTGTTTGATGATCTGAATCTTTTAAGTGTGACAAATATGCAAAAACAGGAAGGGGGCCAACACTTTTTCACACCACTGTATATATATATTTTTAAACAAAATCTAAAAAGTAAAAAAAATTAATTCTAAAAAGTTTGCATGCGTGACCCTGGACCACAAAACCAGTCATGAGGGTCAATATGTACACATTACCTGAAAGCTGAATTAATAAGCTTTCCATTGATGTATGGTTTGTTAGGATAGGCCGAGATACAACTATTTGAAAATCTGGAATCTGAGGGTGCAAAAAATATTGAGAAAATCGCCTTTAAAGTTGTCCAAATTAAGTTCTTACCAATGCATATTACTAATCAAAAATTAAGTTTTGATATATTTACAGTAGGAAATTTACAAAATATTTTCATGGAACATGATCTATACTTAATATCCTAATGAATTTTGACATAAAAGAAAAATTTATTTTGACCCATACAATGTATTTTTGGCTATTGCTACAAATATACCCCAGCGACTTAAGACTGCTTTTGTGGTCCAGGGTCACATGCGTGTTTTTTATTGAGTATCATATTTTATACATAAAGCTTTTATGGCACAAATAGTTTGATATAGTGAAAAAATGGAGGGAAAAAGCAGAAAAAACAACTCAGTTTTATTCAGAGGGCCCAACTGAGCAAAAAATATGAAATATGGTGCAGTTGCTGATATTTATATGTCCTGATGAAACTCTGATAGCTTGTAATGTAAACCAATGAGATCTTTGTAACAGTATAGCAGATACTTACATAAAATGCATATAAATATCAGTTGTCACTCTATATCTCCCAATAATATCTCTTAGTAAGATGATATTTAAATACTTAGTTTAGATCCTGTTAATAATTTAAAGGCCTTAGAAATTGGGTCTCGAATATGATACAGTAGGCTTTATAGGGTTAAGTATGCAAATCCTCTGCCAATTGTAGCCAAATAACGTAAAGTGAAAAGAAACCTGCAGGGAATCGAACTCGGGGTTCAGACCAAACAACCAAACCGAGTGTGAAAACAGCCATCGAATGCAGAAACACACCAAAATCCCAGACGTGCCGTTCACGTGCCACACATGGGCGGTCCGAAACAGGCAAGAGTCACATGACACATGCAGTGCACGTCCCATACTGACCTTCAGGTCCCTGTGCACTTTGTCATGATGGTGAATGTGACTGACACTCTCTAGAATCTGATGGATACAATGACTGCAAAGACAAGCGAGAGAGGAGAGGACAGAAGGGAAAGAAACAGAAAAAGGAAGGATGAGAGAGGCGTGACGGAGGAGGTGAGTTAGTCACGGGGAGATGGGACCGGGAAAGGAACAACACAGATAAGAGAGACTGTTTGATAAGAGGGTGATGAAATGAGACGAGTGATAACGGTGAAAGCCCTGATGTTACACCACGCAGAACAATAGCAGCGCAGCCGGGCGGGACGCATCATTTCCTGTGAGGGCACTGCCGATGACACGTGGGATGGAGAAATGGAGGGAAGGGTGGATGAAAATGATCCGTGTTTGTCTGGGTGTTTGAGAGAGAGTACGGCTGCTTTCTGAGATGCAATCGGTATTTTTAACACGCATATCTAATACAGAATCAATACTAAAGATGGCCTGCTGAGTCTGACCCGGAAACAGTGTGAGAGCGTTTAGGGCCAGCTGGGACAAAAGTCACTTGTACAGTACCATTCAGACCAGTGCTACTGAAAATCTTACTCATGTAAACTAGGGATGCACGATATATCGGCCACCATATCGGTATCGGCCCATATCGGCTCATTTTTTCTGTTATCGGTATCGGCCTGATAAGAAAATTTGGCCGATATCTTAAAGCCGATAAATAATGCATTATTTCCTTCAGAGACACTTCAGATGCGCGCTGTTCGTTTGCAGCCTTTTGTGCAATTGTACGTTGTAATATTGTGTTTATTTGATGTATATCTGATGTATCTCATATAGAATGCGTTTGGTAAAGTTAAAAGAGCGCTTCAGTTTACCAGTGATCATCTTTAGCTCAGCGCAATCCCTAATGTAAACGTTTGGTTTTGTCATGTAATCTCCACTTTTGTTGCCAATTCAGGTTTTAGAGAGGTTTACAAATGCCAAAAATGACAAAAAAATGTTTCAGAAGAATTAGTAAGAAAGTATTGATAATTACAAACCTATCAGTCATGTGCTCATGAATTAATTGGTTACATTACAACTGAATATTTCCAGCTTGTTGCAAGTTTTCATTTTGCAAAAAAAGAAAAACTTTATTATTATTCACATTCAAATACTGATAATTTTGTAAATATGTTTTATATAAAATGTATTCATTATTTGACATCAATAAGTGTTTTATCTTTAATATAAAAAAATAAAATACAATATATTAGTTTGGGGTCAGTAATTTTTTGTTTAAAAAAAAGTTAATATTAATAAATCAGCTAGAATGAATTAAATTGAATATTCTGATTTCAAATAAATTATATATGTATGTATATATATATATATATATATATATATATATATGTAGCATGGCATATATCAGCATTGCATCACAGAAACAAATTACATTTTAAAATATATTCAAATAGAAAACTTTTAATTTGTAAAAATATTTCAAAATGTTTCTATTTTTACTGTATTTTTACATAAGAGACTTCAATCATTCTTACTCACTCCAAACTTTTTAACAGTAGTGTATATATTTATCTAAATTCATTTCAAATAAAAATTGCTATAATTAAACTTTTTTTTTATTTCATTGTTGAGCCCTGAATCATGTTCCCTAAAGCAATTGATCAGACTTGTAAACAATTAAATGGCAGAGACTTTTTTTTTACTTAGGCAATCACCTAGCAACAGCATAGTAATGTGAAGAAAACAGTAATTTTCTTCAGAAAGTGTGAACATCTAGTTTCTACTGCTATGGAAACAGATCGAGCTCAAAAAAAGCGAGTGTGCGGGTTTGTGAATGTGAGCTGACACCATAATTATGCGTGTTAATTAGAGGCCTACTTTCAGCCATCGCTCTAGTGGAGGCAGGTGGAGGGTCTGCGGCCCTCGGGAACGGATACATTTCACCGTCCTGACGGCATTGTGACACGTTTCTACCCACGAATATGGCTGATGAGCTCATGGATTCCAGTAGTGTCAGCGCTCGCCAGTTCTTGTGTTTCCTCCCTCGTTCTGTTCCTCGCTGTATCTCTCACTCCCACATACGTACCCACACAGTCAAATTGATTAAAGCTTTTCTCCTGAGGGCCACTGCAGTGTGTGTGTGTGTCTGTGAGAGGATCTGATGCAGAGAGGAAAACAGGAATAGATGGAAGGGAAAAAAAGAAGCCGGTGGGAAAAGCGGAGGAAAGGGAACTGCAGAGGTAGAGAGCTGCCGCCCACGCTTGCCGTCTCAAACGTTTAACAAGCCTCTGAAACAAAACCCATCACTCGTATGATGTGGACAACACTATCACTCACATGTTATACTAGAATATGTGCAAAACACACACGTTTATCTGGTTAAAATGCATGTGAAAGAGAAGAAAGAAGTGTGGATGGGGAGGATGGAGGGGAAATGGCATGGGGAGGAAATGGACAGGACAACAGGAGGAAATGGAGACGCTGTTTTACCTGGCGTCAGCTTCACTGTAATATTCTCTGGCTACAATGTCTTCAAACAGCTCTCCGCCCGTAACACTGCAGAGAGAAGATACAGGGACCACGGTCACCATATTCAACTGTGATTATTCAACTTCAGTTTGGTGCTTTACTCTGGCACACTGTGCATTCATATTGCAAAAGCATTTGCAGCATGGCATGGAAGAAAAGAAAAAGTAAAATAAAAGGTCAAATAAGAATGCAAACAACACAAAAATAAATGAATTAAAATAAGGAAATATTAAATGAAATAGTATTTTTTAAATAAATTTACTACTGATAATATTATTAAAATACACTAATACTAAATAAATACATTAATTATAATAAAAGAATTAACATTTTTTTATTAAATATTTTTGGACTCAAACAAATATTATTAAATAAAATAAAAAATATTAATCAAATAAATGAAAAATCTGTTAAATTAAATGTTTTAGATTACATAAACTAATAATAAAAATAGGAATAAAACTAACAATAAAAAGCTAATGAATAAATGGTAATAAATATACTGCAATTTTAATATAAATTCAAATATTACATATAAAAAATATTAAATAAAATATGAATCAATGTAAAACTAATAAATCTAATAATATAATAATAAAAAATATAATTAAATGAATAATCAAATAAATCTTAACATTTTACATTTTAATACAAATAATAAAATAAAAAAAATAAAATACAAATACAAATCAAGGAAGTAGCAATTTAACCAAAAGGAATAAATTAAAGGTGATTTGTGTTATTCAGTACTTTTTGTGTTTTCTACAATTACTAGCATAAGAAAAATACTTTATCCTGTGCTAGGTTAGGTCTCGTTTGGTTGACTCCCCTGAAGTGAAAACAGCATGAGAACAGATTGACACAGCAACACTGGCTCAACCAATGGCTCAGTCCTTAATTATACTGCAGAGATCACATACTTCACTTCGCAAGCATATTAAAGTGCAAATGTATCAAAAGTATCAAATAATGTATCAAGAAAAGAATAAATAAATAAAGCAGCATTTATTAAACAAGCACAATTAAGGAAGATAAACTAAAGACAGCGTGGCTGTGCATGACAGGAAAAATAAGCGCGCGCGAGAGAGAGAGAGAGAGAGAGAGAGCAGTATGGATGGGGGAATCCTCTAGAAGAGAGAACACTGGGGGTTCGGGGGGAAACCCCTGCTGCAGGATTTCTCTTTGGCTGGGCAGCCCGCCTCTGTTGCTATGGAAACTGGCTCTCCAGCGAGCAGGAGAGAGAGAGAGAGAGAGAGAGAGAGCGAGAGATGAAGAGAGACGCGAGGGGAAGGTAGAGTGAGTGGGCGTCTGTTGAAGCACACTGAGCAAAAACAAAGCAGAGAGAGAGATATTATACGCCATATTATATGGAAGCACTTACAGGTCAAATAAGAGGTAATGGAAGCCTTCTTCTGATATACTGTCATGGAGCCGCACTGCATTAAATAGAAAGAGAGTCATAATATCATGACATACTCACATTTCTTACATTCACTCAAACAGCAGCACAATTCGAAGAGCGGTTTCATGGGCTGAAATCAACAGGGATGCTTTCTATATTAATGCCCCTCGAGATGCTTTCAGCTCATTTAAACCACCTGCGTCCTGAATGATGGATTTCACACTGATTTCATCATGAACGGAGAAGTTCGGGTTTATTTGTGAAGCTGACTTTAATGGACTCACCGATATTGGAATGCTTGAGCAGACGGCAGATACGGGCTTCCCGTTCCAGCTTCTGGTGATCTGGGAAAAGATTTGGGTCCGTGTTAAGCGTCATGTAACGAAGAAATTGCAGATGGAGTAATTAAATGTTAAAAAGCATTTTTTAACCAATTAATAGGTCAAGGTCAAGTTTATTTATATAGCACCTTAAAAGCAATGAGTGCTGACCAAGGTGTTGCACAGCCAAAACATCAGAAATATAAACTTACAAAAGCATTAAGACAATATACAATTTTAAATCATTAAATATTACAATAAGTAATGCAAAACATAACCAAACAAAAGAAATTAGGGATGCACGATATATCGGCCACCATATCGGTATCGGCCGATAAATGCTCATTTTTTCTGTTATCGGTATCGGCAAGAAATAAACCGAAACAAAACAAAAAAATATTTTCAAGTTAAGCAAAAGCCTGAGAAGAAAGATGAAAAGATGGATAAAGGCAAAGAGTTCCAGAGTGTAGGACCAAGAACTGAAAAAGCTCTGTTCCCTTTAGATTTTAAATGAGATTTTGGGACAATCAATAACTTCTGAGAAGACGATCTAAGTGTTCTCACAGGAGAATAGAAATGGAGAAGAATGTAAATTGGGGCAAGACCATGAAGTGCTTTAAATACAAAAACTAAAACCTTAAAATCAACTCTGAATTTAACAGGTAACCAGTGAAGTGAAACTAACACAGGGATAAGTAACACTCTTTTTTGTCCCTGTCAAAAAGTGAGCAGCAGCATTCTGTACCAATTGTAAACGTGATAGTGAAGACTGGTTAATTCCAGCGTAAAGAGCATTACAGTAATCAAGCCTGGTTGAAATTCATGCATGAATAACAACCTCTAAATCATTAAAACTGAGAAAACTTTTCAGCTTGCAAAGCCCCTTCCTTAAGCTGCAAAAAACTGGCTCTGACTACAGAGTTAATTTGTTTGTCAAATTTCAATTCAGGATCAAAAATAACTCCAAGATTTTTTACCTTTTCACGGATGTTTTCTTCAAAAGGGCCCAGAGTAGGTTTTAAATTAAGTAAAAGGTGAGAAGGGCCAAACAATATAACGTCAGTCTTTTTTTGATTCAACTGTAGGAAATTATTTTCCATCCAATTCTTGATGTCCTCTAAACAAGCCAGCAAAGAGGACACTGAATCACAACCTGATTTTAGAGGAAAATAAAGCTGAGTGTCATCTGCATAAATGTGGTATGAAACTTTATGAGACTCAAAACGAAGAGGGAGCAAATACAGGGAGAATAAAATTGGACCCAAAATAGAGCCCTGGGGTACGCCACAAGTGATGGGAACCGAGCTTCATGAAAATTCACCAATTTCCACCAAAAAACTCCTATTTGTGAGATACGATGCAAACCAGTCTAATGCAGTACCACAAATGCCAACCTCAAGATTTAATAGTTTGCACAAATCATTTGTGGGATTTCATGAACTTTGAGGAAGTTTAGTTACTATGAAACCATGTTAGCCCTTTCAGTTTCACATGAACTTTAGTTAACCACAAGTTAAGAAACCAACATATGCCAGATTGACAAGTATTTCAGAGATATTACCATTAAATAAAACCAAAACCATACAAAATCTAATAAACAATAAAATATTTAAAAACTATTTCAGCAATTTGCAAAGGCAACATTTCTTATTTTCATTTAGTACTCAAAGTACTAAAATTACTCAAACTAAATGCTATAACTAAAACCAAAACTAATTAATAAAAACTATACAGACCATTAAAAACTTTTTAAAAAAATAATAAAAAACACACAACAAAATTACTAAACCTTTCAAATTAAAATCAAACAGACAATATAAAAATAAAATCTAATCTAATATATTACCAAAAACTACAACAGTATATCAATAATACTAAAATAACACTGCAGTAGATTCAGACTGTTAGAAACTCACGCTGATGCAAATATACCACACTGAAATGTCTGACAGAAAAACATGAAATAGTAAGTTGGCACTGTTTTATGCACAGGGGTTTGGTCCGATCGTGACAATTGATTTTCATCATTATTTTATCCCACCCACATATCCTTCTTTCATCAGCAGAAAAGTCGTTTCAGAGGTGGAGAAAGCCATTTCAGTAAGAAGAAAGATTATGAAAACGAATGAATTGTGCACAATATTTATAAAGACAGTAAATGGGGTCAAGTTAGCATTTACATTGTAAAAAGTGACATTAAAAGTGTTGTATTTGAAAGAAGTCTCACCAAAGCTACATTTAATTGTTCAAAAACTACAGTAATTAATAGTAAAATTATGAAATATTACAATTTATAATAATTGTTTTCTATTTGAATATATGTTCAAATGTAATTTATTCCTGTGATGCAAAGCTGAATTTTCAGCATCATTACTCCAGTCTTCAGTGTCACATGATCCTTCAGAAATCATTAGAATATGCTGATTTGAGCTCAAGAAACATTTATTATTATTATCAATGTGGAAAACAGTTGTGCTGCTTCACATTTTTTGTGGAAACGGTGTACATTTTTTTCAGGATCCTTTGATGAATAGAAAATTTATTACGTTCAAAGAATTTATTTGCAATAGATTTTTATAACATTATAAATGCCTTTAATGTCACTTTTGAACAATTTAATACATCCTTGCTGAACTGAAGTATTTCTTTCTTTAAAAAAAAAAAACTAATACATAAATCTTGCTTTTATGCCTTTTGTTCATAGATGGATTGTTCAAAAATGACACCACTATCTTGAAAACAGCTTGCATTTAAGTTGTCTTCACAGGATGGGATGTATAATGTTTGTGTTTAAAAATAGAAAAGGCTTGTGCTATTTGTTTTTCCATCCAGTCAAACAGTTGCTGCTCAACTCACACTGTTCTCAGATCAGATCTAGTTAAAAGTGCACATTTAAAGCGGTTTGCACATCACTTCAAACACAGCGACAAATGTCAGACTCAGCATCACGCAGACCACACAATCTACTGTAAACCACACGGCCAACCGGCGGCTGGAGATCAAGCAACCTCTAACTGTCTACTAGAGACAGACGTGCGCAACCGAGAGGCCTGGACTGCTTCAGCACACCCCACAGAGGAAGCCTGCTGTCTGCATGAGTCATACGGGAAAGATCAATGTGGAAAACAGTTGTGCTGCTTCACATTTTTTGTGGAAACGGTGTACATTTTTTTCAGGATCCTTTGATGAATAGAAAATGTATTACGTTCAAAGAATTTATTTGCAATAGATTTTTATAACATTATAAATGCCTTTAATGTCACTTTTGAACAATTTAATACATCCTTGCTGAACTGAAGTATTTCTTTCTTTAAAAAAAAAACTAATACATAAATCTTGCTTTTATGCCTTTTGTTCATAGATGGATTGTTCAAAAATGACACCACTATCTTGAAAACAGCTTGCATTTAAGTTGTCTTCACAGGATGGGATGTATAATGTTTGTGTTTAAAAATAGAAAAAGCTTGTGCTATTTGTTTTTCCATCCAGTCAAACAGTTGCTGCTCAACTCTGTTCTCAGATCAGATCTAGTTAAAAGTGCACATTTAAAGTGGTTTGCACATCACTTCAAACACAGCGACAAATGTCAGACTCAGCATCACGCAGACCACACAATCTACTGTAAACCACACGGCCAACCGGCGGCTGGAGATCACGCAACCTCTAACTGTCTACTAGAGACAGACGTGCGCAGCCGAGAGGCCTGGACTGCTTCAGCACACCCCACAGAGGAAGCCTGCTGTCTGCATGAGTCATACGGGAAAGAGGCCGCAGATCGTCTTCAGTGCTTCATGATACAGAGCCCTGATAAAACACACACGGCTGGCTGTCCATCATCCCAGCATCATTAAGTGTTCCCAAATGGACTAGTATGGATCGCGGCTATCGTCTGATTGATGATGTTTAACAGTCACATTTTCTTTTGATCTATTATAAAAACACATTACCTCTGAGTTGCAAATAGAATTTGCATCAAAACCCAATTCTATGATAGAGGGTGTAAAATGGAAATGAAATTCAATTAGGAGTGTTTTGGGTGTAAAAACACCATTCAAAAGTTTGGAGGTTGGGAAGATTTTTTAATAATTTTTTAACTGAAGCTGCATTTATATGATCAAAAATACAGTAAAAATAGTTGTATTGTGCAGGGTTATTATCATTACCTAAATTAACCTAACCTTTTTTGTTATATGAAATAAAATATAAAAAAGTAAAATAAAATAAATAAATAAATTCAACTAGTTGTGAAAGAATAACTTAATTTTCTTTTAAGTTAGTTTGAAGTACTAAAATATACTTTTTTTTACAATAAATAAAAAGACATTTGAAAAAAATAATAACAATTACCAAAACAAACTAAATTACTAAACCTATAACTAAAATTAAAATAAATCAAAATATTAATCAAACTTTAATTGTATATGAACTGTACTAAAATAACCGATAGAGGGTGTAAAATGGAAATTAAATTCAATTAGGAGTGTTTTGGGTGTAAAAACCCCATTCAAAAGTTTGGAGGTTGGGAAGATTTTTTAATCATTTTTTAACTGAAGCTGCATTTATATGATCAAAAATACAGTAAAAATAGTTGTATTGTGCAGGGTTATTATCATTACCTAAATTAACCTAACCTTTTTTGTTATATGAAATAAAATATAAAAAAGTAAAATAAAATAAATAAATAAATTCAACTAGTTGTGAAAGAATAACTTAATTTTCTTTTAAGTTAGTTTGAAGTACTAAAATATACTTTTTTTTTACAATAAATAAAAAGACATTTGAAAAAAATAATAACAATTACCAAAACAAACTAAATTACTAAACCTATAACTAAAATAAAATAATTAAATAAATAAAATAAATTAAAATAAATCAAAATATTAATCAAACTTTAATTGTATATGAACTGTACTAAAATAACAAAATATTATTTCAGTTTAAAAGAACAATTTTCTATTTATATTTCAAAACGTAATTTATTCCCGTGATCAAAGTTGAATTTTCAGCATCATTACTCCAGTCTT